TCTAGGGGAATGTTTTTTTTTTTTTTTAAGGTATGTGCAAACATATGAGGGAGTGAATTCGATATCTGCAAATGGCTGAAATTAGAGAACTGAAATGCGAGTTGAAGAGGAAAAGCCCTGCTGAGGCTGAATTCAAATAAATACGGACTCCTAATAATTCTCCCCTGTTCCACTGCTTAATCTGTCCGTTTTATGCTCTTCCCAAACCCTGGCTATCTGAACTGTAGAGAAGAGGCTTCCTCAGGAATATCATGGCTTGGTACTGAAGACCCGTGCTGTGGTGTCCTGGCTCCTGAGCCCGTGCCCAGACGCTGGCGGTGCCCGGCTGGGCCTGCTCAGACCTGCCTCACACGGTGCCAAGGGGAAGCATCACGTTCAGAAATATTTAGAAACAAAACAAACCCAAATGCAGACAGGCCAAGAGAATGCAAAGGATTCCAAGATATCACCCCCTGCCCCCCTCCCCCCCCAAAAAAGATGTTTTGCTTTAAGACTGTTCCATTTTTTGAACGTGTAAAGTTCCTGCTGCCCTTTGTGTAGAGAGTCAGCTTTGCCTGCCCTTGCCAACAGTGCCGAACCATCCCGATGACAGCTGACCACAGAACAAACACTCCATTTGACACAGACTTGTGAGGTTTTTTAGTTTAAGGGTTTGCTCCAACGCAAAATAAAAATGAAAAGAATTTCTTGGTCTTCTTTGTAAAACCCAGATTGTGTTGAGACAATCATTTTTGAGCAAGTAAAGCACAGCTCACACTAGGAAGGCTTTGCTAATAGAACTAAACCAGCAAGTTTTCCTATCGTGGGCTCATCTTGCCATGGCAAGCCAGGTTTATGCTGGTTCCCTAAATGGCTGAACGCTCTCTCAGCAAAACTACACCTTTGCTGACACGACAGCTTTTATAATATGACTTTTGCTGGCTTAGCTATATTGATAAAAAAATGAACAAAACAAAACCAGCACTCATCCTTACTGATGCAGATGAGCTGACAAAAATTTGCACGTGAATGACTGGCCCAGTAATTATGGCTCTGGCTGAGAATGTGGGAGAACAAGGTTCAAATCCCTGCTCTGTCTGAACCAAAGCTTCTCTTTTCTGGGTTCCAGATCAGAACTACTTAAGAATGACATGGGAATCTCACCATTAGCAGCTTCTATGCAGATATTCAAGGTCAGTGGCCTAACTACCACATTTCTGAAGAGAAACAGTCCTGTTTCAACTGAAGTTTTCACTGAAACCAAACCATTTTTTGGCTTCAATAAATCATTGTGCTTTGGTAAGAGACAGTTTAGCTGGAAAAGTGTTTTGACTAGCTTTAATCCTCATGCTCAGAATGAGGATAAGAGTTCCTGCAAACATGCACAGCTCCCGTGCAGTAAAGTCTGGAGAGCAGCAGAGCACTCTCACACCCGAGAGTGAGGCACCGATTGCCATTGCTTCGTGGAGAGCAGCAGCAGAAATCTTCTTAAAGAAGGGGCCCTCATTAAAAACCATCAAACCGGGGCTGTAATTACACTGCTGCTTTCAAGCAGAGGGAGCTATTGTACAGGAAGAGAAGAGCAGCATAAACTGTATGGTGCCAGGGCTCAGCCAGCAGCTCCAGCAGAGCTGTACAACCCCGAGTGTTCGTCGCTGGTGCCTGTGGATCCCAAGGCAACTGCCACGAGGAATGCCCCAAAAGCCACACAAGAAAACACAGACCTGCAGAATTTCAAGGAATTAATACTATGATCCATAACTTAACACGAAGGGGATTGCAAACCCTGGATGGCACTGTGCTTTTCCTACTGACACAAAAGGAACAATGCTTTTTGGAACCCTTGCCTTACGCTTTATGCTCAACCCTAAATATACCCAGAACGGCACCACCCGCTAAAGCAATACAGCAAACCCTGAATTCACATGCACATTTTGTAAACAGCGAGTAGAACTGGACTGTGTGGGTTGTTGCCTTGTTTTGAAAAGGCAGCAGTGCTAGCAGCAGGCTAGAAAGCAGACTCTTACCTTCTGTACTAACTGCAGAAACCAACTGCACTCCCACGGTGCCCTGCTGGACTTGGGGGCCACCTCACTGTTAACAGACCAGCTTGAGTCACTGGAGGTTACTAAACAGCACTAACTGCTACTGTACACCTACCCTAAGGCTCTTGATTCATTTTACTTGGCTCCCATGAAGCCAGATAATAGTGATATTTAGTCAGGAGCAGTCAGGACAGGATTTTGGTCTCTGATTTAAAGTGAAAGGCTCATTTGCTTGGATGGAGTTTACAGCCTGGGAAGCAACTCCCCCCCCCCCAGTCCCAGAGCTAAGATGTTGCCATAATGGTACTCGGCCGGAATACAGAAGTGACTCAGCTTCAACACTTCAAGAAATTATTACATTACTTTCTGTGCATTACAGCAGAGGGAGGGTGCACAGGACACCACTGTGCAATCTGGTCATCCTAAAATGGGCATGAACTGGGCTTGGTGCATTTAATGAGGAACTTGAACTTCAGTTTACTGCAGGATTCCTTGATACGAATCATTTGCGGGCAGTAAGGAAAGGAATCAAACTGCAAAGGGTGTCTATCAGGAGCCAAAACCCCTTAACTCACAAGCACTGAGAGAAATTCATTTTTTTTTCAGAAAAGAATTAGATGTTACAAAGTTTGCTAGTTGTATGAAGGATGGGAGCTGACCACTGTCCTGCACCAGCAGCAGCCCAGGATGCTGGCCTCCAGGTAACCCTTTGAGGAGCTAGTATGTTGTAGCTGTTGTCTATTCCTTTGTGCTGAAGCCAGCCATAGAATATATGAGCTTGTTTAAAATACTCACAATTTATTCATACTTAGCACACCATATATTTAACTACGTTAAACCATAGGTTTTCCCTTCCCCCCTACTGCTCCTCATCAAAAATCCACAAATGTTTCCTGGACTCCAGGTGTCAAATTTTTCTTCTTATTTTCAGAGCCTCATTTGTTCTGGATTCATTTAGCAGTGCAGAGTCAAGCAGGGGCCGTGGCAGTTGCTGCCTCTGGGATCCTGGATTCGGAGCAGCATGAAGTCTCTTAAAAACCTGAGCTCTGCTAAAATGTTAAGAGTCCCACGAGCACCAGGTTAACAGAGTCCTCTATGCCATGCCGCTGGAGTATGTGAATTTAGCACGGCTTCAAGAGAGGGATTCAAATTTAGAATCATAGAATTGGGTTTTGGTTGGAAGAGACCTTTAAGATCATCAAGTCCAACGGTTAAGCTGGCACTGCCAAGGCACTATTAAACCATGTCCCTCAGCACCACATCTATAGGTCCCTGAAATCCCTCCAGGGATGGTGACTTGTCACAGGCACCAAAGACTCACACTCAGGTAGCTCCCAGAGGTCCATCACACTGGAAAATTAAAATGCTAACAACAACCGACTGACTTTCCCCGACCTCACCAAACCCCGAGGTTTCTGAAGCAGCCAAGAGAGGGCACTCCAGGCCAGCCCAGCTCCAGCACGGCTGGAGATGTTTCATGCTCTGCCAGGTCCAGCCCCATCTGTCCAGCCCCAGGAGAAGCCTCGCTGGGTGCAGAGGATGAGGAGCAGCCTCCCTC